TAGATGTGGAGATACAGAAAAAATGCTGATCTAGTCTACTCGTGTGCTGTGTAAAGCTCACCGTACTATCTGACTACATTACATATTAGGAAATAAAAAAAAATTGCAGTCCAGGATAAACAGGTTTGCTTCAAGGAGTAAGTCGTCCTGTATATCTGTACCATCACCAGGAACACATATAAACATTAACTCTGGCAACATAGCACCAGTTGGTCGATATTGGGGCCAAAGAGAAAAGGTTATTCCAAATGACTACATCGTCACTAGGACAATGCATACTTGAAAAAGAGGAGGTTGGCCTGAGTGACTACATCTTAATAATTATTTTGTATTTACACCCGGATAAAATAGCGTCGGCTGCTCCTGAGCTGGTCAACGACGATACACTTGTATAAGGAACTGTGTAATTTATATCTTATCTACGTATATATAGTACTTAATACTTATATGAATGTTAATTGCTCAATAACCGAACGAGCCTACATATTTTGGCGGAATGGGAAGCGTACCCCCAATCTGTCTCAACGGCATTAGGCAAAACGACGGGTTTAGGCGAAATAAGATAATTCCATTTTATCTACCTTGGGCATTTTTGACAGTAGGGTGGGGCCCCGTTAGGAAAAATAGGGTTCACACTTTGTGTGTATCCAACTAGAACAAGCACAAGGAGGCGCAAACAGGTACGAAAACTACCGATTTAACCAAATTTTACGGTCTTTTTGAATAGGATAAAGTTCTAGAAATTTGTCAAGCTATACAGTTATTTTGAAAAAAAGTATTGTTTCAGGGCCATTTTTCGAAAGGATCTGTTTTTGGATTTGTCTGTGGTTCGAGAAATGTTTTTATCTGATCCAGTTAAAGTTTAGTGTGCATGTTAAGGTCTACAATGCCTACTTTTCGTTTAGTCTTGAGCTCCTTATAATAATTGGAACGCGACTTTCTAAATTTCGACAAAATGGCGGCTTGTAGAGAAACGGCTAGAACGATTTGAGTCCAAAATAGCTTATTTTTTTCGTTTTGAAATGGCGCATCTTTTTTTGAGAAAGCATTATGTGTTTAAAATTGTTGTTTTTGCTTTTCACGAAAAAAGCCTTCTTTAGCCATGTTCACCTTTTTTAGGGCTTTAACGTGACAATTTTTATTTTTGTGTTTTACTCAGGTGCACTGTAATTTTTTTTGACAGGTATGGATTTTGACAAAATGGAGGTAATTAATATTAACTTTTTTCAACCTGCAGTACTTGCATAAGTTGTATTTTATCATTTATTTTTGGTGCCTGTACGTTTGCCCTGTCCCCCTCCTACGGGAAGATACAAAGAGCGTAGTGCTACCTTGACATCCTTGAAGACGCTTATCGCTGGGCAGCTGTACGTTTGGCTCATGACAGAATCTGTAATAGAGCTTTTTTGCAGTGACAAATTTTGGTTCTTGTAAGTTTGTCCTGTGCCTACACTCAGAGATACTTTTCATTTACGTGCACAGTGTACGTTTGGTGTTCAGCCGCGTGGTGGCGTGTCGACACCCAACTAGCTGAGTGAATACCGAGCGCTCACTCAGCTTTCAGAAAAACAAATTTCGTTCACTCACAAATCCGAGTGAACGCACTCGACGGGCCGTACGAGTGTCAAACCGACACTGAAAATATCATACGTATACACACGTATTATATATGTGCATGGATATACATGAAATCGAATTCAAGTAATAAGTGTAAGACGGAATTTTTTTTCCAAAACTTTATTTCATCAAAAATTCGTTCAATTACTTTTTTTTTTTTTTTAATTCATCGCACTAGACTTTACAATCGATGCCTAGAGGCAACGTATAAACAATTACAATTATACAAGGATATCGGTCATTTAATTTTTGATAAGAGATAACTTTTTTTTCATTTATATTTTTGAAAACGCTGTAAGCAAAAAAATGCATATCGAAGCCAATTATTTTGAATGGAACGTTTAAGAAATATATTTCATCTTCTACTTTGAAAATTTCTTGCACTTCTCCAAATTTCGGATTATTTTCTCCGATACAAGCTACTATCACAGTTCCTAATTTATATGTTACATCATTAATAAGTACCTTAGTTGAACAACATTTGTCTTCAAAAAGAAGAAAAAAAAGAAATAATATTTTTGGACATGACAGTACCGTATTCGATATTCATTTTTTTGTATGATATAAAAGAACAGTTCGTTAATTTTAAAAGATACCTAGTAGCAATAGTTTTTAAAATATTTATCCTAGAACTTTGAGCTTGTACAATTGCTTTGAGCTCTTGGTGCTTGGATTCAAATCTCAATCCAGGAATTTTTATNAAATAAGGTGCCTGGGATGGCGTCCTAACTTTACACTCAGAGATACTTTCCATTTACGTGCACAGTGTACGTTTGGCGTTCAGCCACGTGGTGGCGGATTGACACCCAACTAGCTGAGTGAGTACCGAGCGATCACTCAGCTTTCAGAGGAACAAATTTCGTTCACTCACAAATCCGACATTTGAATACAATTTATGGTGTTCACTTATATAAAACTCTAACTGAAAAAGATCGGTCTTAGTTATTGTAGGAGATGTTAAAATGTGGATGATATTTCGTAAAAATATATACAATTGCCATGCATTATCAGTATAAGGCACTTTATCACCTGCAATCAAACCAAAATTTCTATCAAAAAACAGTGATCCTGCTGATGACATTTTTAATTTTTGATATTTTTTGACGTAGCTCATATCAATCGGCAACGACACGTTTTTATTTGAAACATCAAAATTTAAGGTTTTTAACTCGTTTTTTATGAAATCTATTGTCAAATGTTTGTAATATATTAGTCAACTTTTTTTGCTCGAGTAACAACACTTTCGTAAAGAAATACTGTCCTTCGAAATCAGCAATGTCTATCGCGTGTACGTTCATATATACGAATGATATTCTCAGTGTCCGTGAGACGCTCGTACGGCCCGTCGAGTGCGTTCACTCGGATTTGTGAGTGAACGAAATTTGTTCCTCTGAAAACATAGTGAGCGCTCGGTATTCACTCAGCTACTTGGGTATCGACACGCCACCACGCGGCTGAACGCCAAACGTACACTGTGCACGTAAATGGAAAGTATCTCTTAGTGTACGGAAAGATACGCAGAATACAGTGCTAGCTTGATATCAGACGAGCACAATGTCGATTTATTATAAACTGGTGACAGTAACTTTTGAATTTGGCAAAAAACTAGCGACAAATCATGGTACTCATTAGGAATAGGAAATTCAACTTCGTAGTGCTAGCTTGATATACCTAGAATAATTAGAATGATCATAAACGACACCTTTGATATGTGCTTTCGAGTATGTGTCGAGGCATGTACATGTAAGTAGCAGATTGCAGAAATTAGTAACATTGCATCACGTTTGCACCCTATTATATCTCTAAAATCTTTGCTTGCTAACCATGACGGATGTTAATAAAAATAACATTGTATATTATGTAACTTTGCTATCCAGGTGAGAAGTAAATTGTTGTATCAATAAAGATAATAGAATAGATGAGACAAGAGGCCACCTACTTAAAGAGTATGAGTAATTAAATTATTATTCATTTCAAGAATTTTCTTGAAGTCGTACAAGCATAGTAAATTAATATATTAATGAGCCTGTTCCTTTTATTAGAAGTATTAGTGATAATTGCATGAAAATCAAAGATAAAGTGTACGTATATAAAACATTTTCTTTTCTTGTATTTTTTCTAAGGAAATTAATATTTTACTATCGTATACAGCATTTATTGTGTAGATGGTCAAAATCACTTATCATCATCAAAATAATGATGGATGGGGTAAAGCCGGTTTCCGGAAAATGTGGGTGTTTACTATACATTGCATGCATTTATTATTATACATGCATTATTTAAGTGAATATTATTGTATATTCACTTATTAAAAAGTCTTTGTATTACGAATACACAACCTACAGTTACAATCTAATGAAACTTGGTTTTCGAAGTGTATTAAATTTTTATGTACAATAACTAAAATATTTTAAATTAAATACGTTAATAAACTATATGTATAAATGTTACTTTTGCTTCATTTTCGAGGTTAAAAGTTTGTAAACAAGCATATATGAATATTTTTATGACAAAGTATACAACGCTTAGCCAGAAACATACTAGTATAAAAGCAAAACCATCAATAAAAATGTATTTTGATTTTTTTTAACATTTCAGAATGGTCTATGATCACTTGATCTTATGACTTCCAGTACAGAAAAATTATTTTCAAAGTTTTCTTAAAATGTAATGGAAAATATCATAAGTTCCATTTATTTAGCATGGAAAACCATTGGATTAAACTACACGTGGGGTACAGTAGGGTTTTTCAGGTATCCTACAGAAACGTTATTTTTAATAAAACTACACACTTTTTTACATCAAAAGTTATACACATTATTTTTAAGTAAATTACGTAACAGCTCAAACAAATTTTTATTAAATATTTAGAAAAAAAGGGTCAAAACTTATTTAAAACGCTTACACTACTTACTTGGTGAGCTTATGGTACAATAAATTCATTTTCGCTTTTATTACTAAAAAAAAGCCTGTAAAATTTCCTTTTATATTGACCATTCTTAATATACATTTAACTGAGTCAATACTTAGCTTGAAAATTTAAACAATCTTGATAACAAGGGCACAGTAATAGATTCAAGGAACGTCTCAAACCTTCACAATAGAGCTGAAAAAAAGTTTTTTGGTTCTTCCGTAGTACGTATGGGTCATAAATTTTGTTACACACAAAAATTTCTACAAATGATCCTAAAATACACAAAATATCTTAAATGAATTTAAATTACGTTTAAGCAACTAAACATAAATTTGTTATTACATTCAACCTTAGAAAATTAAGCGAAGACCCTCTAAAATATGGCTATGCAATCCTTATAAATCACTTAATTAGATTTGTAGATAAAAAATGTTAATTTCTTTCATTTATGGAGTTCTCTCTTTTTCAGATTCGTAGTCGAGTTGCTAACTTAAGGGATTCAAAAAATCCCACATTAAGAACAAATTTTATTATAGGAGCCATTACTCCAGCAAGACTTGCTATTATGACAGCAGAAGAAATGGCTAGTGATGAAATCAAACTAATAAGAGAAAAATTTAAGAAAGAAGCCATTAACGATGCTCAACTTGCAACTGTTCAAGGCACAAAAACAGATTTGTTAAAATGTGGAAAATGTAAAAAAAGAAATTGCACCTACAATCAAGTGCAAACAAGATCTGCTGATGAACCTATGACAACATTTGTCTTATGCAATGAATGCGGTAATAGGTGGAAGTTTTGTTAACAAATCTGTTATCAATTATAACAGACATGTATATAGTTTTACTGCATCAAGACATCTAATAATGAAGAACAAATTGATTTTTTTTAAATCTGTTTAATTATTTAAAAAATATTTAATTCTTCATATGAATGTAACTATACTTAATAAATATTCATCTTACTTGACTTCTTTATTTAGTTTCATTGTAAAATTAGAATAAGTACTGTCAGATCATTCTATGCTTCAAGTTTTCGTAAGCTTATTCCAAATCTCTCTGAATATTTACTGTTAAAAGTTTTACTACTTTCTCTACATTATAAGACAATCAATTATTATCCTTAAAGCCTTACGGTATCCAAAAACTTGCACACATAACATTTTGGAAACTTATACATCTCAAACACAGATCTAGTTTTATCATAAATAACCTTTACTTTTGTTTCAAAAAAATCTAATGCATGTAGTGTACACAACTTTTAGTAATATCGTTTGTTGTCACATGAAAGACAAAAGACTTGAGCCTTTTAATCGGTCATATAATTGTGTACGTTCCATGAGTTCACTTTTCCCCTCTCTCTCAGTTCTTATGTAATCAATTTTAGTAGGAAAACTGAAAAGTCAAGTATGAAGTTCTAATTTTTTATTTTAATAATAGTTGGAGTTTCAAGTTTTTAATAATAGTTAAATGCAAAAGGTTTGTTATGTTATTTTTTTATGTAAAAAAAAATTTCATACATGCATTTTTTGTGTATAAATTAGTTGAATTTTTATACTGTACATAGGGTATAGTTAACAATGTCCTAAGGAGGCCGACTTGACCGGCGAAACATCCACCCATATTAAAATAAAAAATCAACAATCCGTACTTAGCCTTCTAGTTATCTTTCTTAATTCAAAAGTTAACTTCACAATTTTCTTACAACTATTAATCACGCATTAAAATAGTTTGTCAAAAAGAAGGAATTAAGTCATGCGGTCTTACCTCATCAATCTATTAACATTGTCAACTAAAGTTTTTATATTAAGTTTGGCCAAAAATAACTTTGTTATTTACAATAATTAGTCAAATTTAAAGAGGCAAAAATATCTTTTTTTTTGTAAGACAAATTTTGCACTTGTTTTCGCATTAATCATCCTTCCTTTTTCCATCAACTTTTGCACTTGTTTCTTCTTACCTGACTATTTGTGTGCTTCTTGGAAAGAAAATTTAAATTATAACAATATCATATACCAAATGATTAAATTTTTAAAATAAGGATATTTCTTTATTTCTAAGTTTTTGGTTTTTCAAATTAATCGTGCGGTACCCAAGTATAAGAATAATTTTTTAGGCTCTAAGGTCTACTTTTTAACTTTTTTTATTTATGTAAGGAGTTTTACTCTTTATCTATATGTTAAACTACTTTGATTTCAATGACCCTTTGAATTGTTTAGTGACTAAATACCCACAATCTTATTTTGACCTATGCTCGTATTAGTAGATTTTATAGATGTTTTACTTTCATCTCTTCATCTTCATATCTTTATTTGTCTTTGTTTGAAGAAACAGTTTCATTAATTGATCTTTATACGAATCTTTAGGCAAATTTCTTTCAGTCTTTAAGTCTTTTATGTAATGGTTTATTCTGCTATTTCATCACTCATATTATATTTTTATGTACCTACATCTTTCTTATGTAGTATATCCAGATTTCTTCGCAATAGTGATATTTTGTAAGAAAATTGAGAAAATGCTTGCGTTGTTGAGTGAAAAACGCATTAAAACTTACCTGTTTTTTACTACGGATTAGTTTTTAGATGCAGCTCAAGCTTTTGATGATATTTCAGAAAAAAATAGACTGTAAACAAGTTTTATTAGTATAAAAGTCGATTTTTTATGTTGTTCAATGTTTAATGGTCGTAATGTGTGCTTTTTAATAAGATTTACAAGCTCTTAGTCACCAAAATTTAGAAAAATCAAAGTAATTATTAAGTCTAATCCAACTGAAGTTTAGGAATTAGATTTTCCTAAAAAAGTTTTACACGTCAAAGAGTTAAAGAAGAAATTTGAAAGAAGTAAATCACCCCCAATAATACATTTACTTATACAAGCACTTCTCTTGCATTTTGTATTAGAAGATGTATGTCGTCGATAGTCGAGATTTTCTAATTAAATGATCACAACTTACTTTAGCATATATAGTACAGAAAGTTTGAGTACAATAAATTTCTACTGAGTAGTCAAAAATTTTTAAATAGGTCTTTTAAGTTATTTTTCAATAATTTATGTAACCGCAAAAATTCTCTTAACTAAACGCTTGAAACCTAATTACGTTTTTGATGACAAAACAAAGTATGGGGTAAAAACTACCCTTAAGTTTAGCCCAAACCCAAAAATAACGTTTTTGTTCAGCGCACACAAGAATAGTGTACATTTTATTAACGCTCAAATTTTTGTACACAAAATATCACGCACGAGCTGTTTGTATCTTAATCAGCAGAGTTTTGTTTACATGTAATATTCAACCTAAATGAGATGTGTACAAAACGTACATTGATTAAGAACAAATGTTTTAAAAGTTAAATACTGGTCATGCTGTACTTTACAGTTAAAAATATAAAAGTCATTTATTTTTTTAAGCAAATGATAGGAAAAACAAATTAGTCAATTTCGTCTGTATATTATCTCAAACTATCGCCTTACAACTAGTTGCATACAGCTGTCTATTAACACCTGCACTATTTTTTGTTAGTAATTATCTTTCTGCGTTTAATTTTTAAAGATAGTTGTAAAACTCCTGCCAAATAAAAAAAGTTTAATTTTTCTTTACTTAAAATAGATCGTGGGTTCACGTAAGCATACGTTTTCAAAATATTAAGATAATAATATTTACCTTTCTAATTACACACTGTCTTATCGAAGTGAAATATAAGTAAATTATAACATACAGCGGGTTTCAGTTTTAGAATAATAGTTTACAAACAGTAAAGCGAACGGCAAACCTTGCTAATTAATAACATTTGTAATATTTGAAATCAAAGGAGAAAAAATTACGTGATTTTATTCACTGAGTTGCTACCAATATATAACTAGGGTCATGAAAATCCTGAGATAATAATTACATTCTAACATCTATTCCCATCTAATGACATAAAAACCTCTTTTATATATTATCCTTGTATATTCTATCAAAGAAAAGTTCCTGATTTTGATTTTTACTATTAAATATTCTATGACATATTAATGAATATCTTGAACATTTAATTTTAAGAATTTATATAATCCAATAAAAATAATAGTGAACATAAAACCCTTTTTTAGCAGTAATAGGTACCTGAATGCAAAATAAGTAAGCCTTGTTAAATTAAAGTCGGTGAAGAGAACTTCGCGATATTAGTGACTCTTTGCATACACCAACGTACACAAGCATCGTTTTTTTAATAATGAGGAAAATCTATTGAGCTTCAGCCACTAGGCATGTGTAGTGCATTTTTTCAGTGAAGCACGCTCTGTTAAACTCACTTACTGAATATAAGGTGCTAAAAAAATAAATAAGTAGATTTAACTATTTTAGTAAAACTGACTTTCGAAATTCACTTATTTTGTGTATCAAATGGGAGTTATGCGTAAAGTTTTAAAAGAAGAACCTTAAAACATCAACTAGCTTTAGCACTTATGCTTATGCTTAGTGGCCCTTGATATTTCCAGTCGAATGCCAGATCAAATTAATGACTGTAAATACCATACAAGACAAATTGTTTTAAAGAAGTATTACCTGACTTCTATTTGAATTAACTAAAAATTTTCCTGTAGTTGATCATTCCATATTAAGCATTCCGCACAACGCCCACAGCCTTCCCCCCCCCCCCAGCAGGGCTGGATATGGACGAATGAGGGTGGACAGGGGTGGCAAACAGCGATCAAAAAATATTTATTTTATAAGGTAAAATCAAGCTCAATTAGACAAATACGCAAAGAAAGGCAATGGGTAGATAAGTTCTCAGCTACCATTGAAATCCTTCCAATTATATAACATAAAAAAAATATAAATAAGTATGTACATGTATAAGTAGAGCTCCTCCCCCCCTGCGTACCCTACGCACCAGTCCCCCATTCCCAGTATTCAAAATTAATTAGAAAAATGAAAAAGTTTTTTTTTTTTACGATGTTTCAATGAAGCGTCACCTCAACAGAAATTTTACGAAGAATAATAAGAGAAATAACACTATTTATTAAAATAACAACGACAATATCGAATGCCAGTATCGAAGAATGCTCCTATAAACTCGAGGCGTTGAGTGTCTGGTAGGATTTCTCCATTACATCCGTTGTTTAGAACTTTAATAGTAGCAAAGGTATACGCAAGTACAAGTTATTGCAGGCAGTAGATGTTAGTAAGTATAGAAACCAAGCTATTGGTCAAGTCATACGAAAAACATAAAAAAACAAGATGAGAAAAGTGAACTTTTAAGGTCATGTAAATAAAAACCAGTAGACAGTGGATGCTTGGGTACCCAAGTAAAAAGTTAAACTTCTATCAAATTATATTGGAGATGATATAATTATAAATATGAATATACCGCCTATGAAACGATATTGTGTAAAAAGGTAGTGCAACCATCGTTGGAATGAGTGTACGGACGTTGGTTGAGTGTGGTTTCAATAAACATTTTAATATTCAATCACTGAATCATTATAAACAATATATTATGGCACAATACAATATAAATAATACAAAGGCTGGTCTGTACAAAACTGTGCATTTTCATCTAATCTTCCAATGGTTTCAAAACAACTTCCTAAGAAAATAAAAAATATACCCTTAAAAAATAGCAGATCGTTCAACTGTAACCTTTTTTATACGTTTAATTTAAAAAATTTGTAATTCAAGATGTAACCTTATGCACAAATCACTAAAAATTGCATTTATAGGATCTGTATGAACCTTCCAATTTTTGTTTGTATAAAAGATGACTATTAAATATACCTCTTTCATTTTCAAATAGATCTATAATTTTTTTTTGTTCTTAACACGAAAAAAAAGGATTAAGTACTAGTAAAATCGTGTATGTAAGTACATCCATATAGGAAAAATAATTTACACCGTTGCTGTATAAATTTGCGCTTCTCCCACCTCTCTGAATTTTGAGCTCAACTTTTCCCTTTGTTAAGTAT